CATAGCAACCGACCAATCAGAACCAAATGTGGGTGCTGTGAAGAACCAATGGCTGCCTAGGAGGCGGAGCTTCTGATGCAGACTGGCATAGAAACCGACCAATCAGAACCAAATGTGGGTGCTGTGGGGAGCCAATGGCTGGCTAGGAGGCAGAGCTTTTGATGCTGACTGACATAGAAACTGACCAATCAGAACCAAATTGGCCAGCAGAGGCGGGCAGTTGGGGGCAAGATCAGGCCTGCAGGGGAGGGCAGTTGGGGGCGAGATCAGGCTGGCAGGGGAGGGTCGTTGGGGGCAAGATCAGACCAACAGGTGAGGGCAGTGGGAGCAACCAGGCCGGGAAGGGAGGGCAGTTGGGGGCGAGATCAGGCCAGCAGGGAAGGTCAGTTAGGGATGATCAGGCAGGTCGGCAGAGGCAGTTAGGGGAAACCAGGCCAGCAGGGGAAGGCAGTTAGGGGTGATCAGGCTGGCAGGCAGAGGCAGTTAGGGGCGATCAGGCAGGCAGGCAGGCAGCAGGTGAGCAGTTGGAGCCAGCGGTCCCCAGATTGTGAGAGGGACATCCCCCAAGGGGTACCCAATTGGAGAGGGTGCAGGCTGGGCTGAAGGAACCCCCCCCCTTCATGCACGAATTTCGTGCACTGGGTCTCTAGTTATTTTATATTGGTTTCCTATGTTCTGAATACTGGTTAGAAAATAATATACTTTACAAAGGGGTCACCCCCCAATGTTTCCAGTACCTACCTGTCACCATACATAGTTATTACGATATTATTGACTATACTAGAGGCCCGGTGCACGAAATTAGTGCATGGGGGGGGGGCGTTGTCCCTCAGCCCAGTCTGCTCCCTCTCCAATCTGGGACCCCTCAAGGGATGTCTGATTGCCCTCTCACAATCCAGGACTGCTGGCTCCCAACTGCTCGCCTGCCTGCCTGCCTGATTGCCCCCTAACTGCCCTCCCCTGCTGGCCCGATCACCCCTAACTGTCCTCCCTTGCCAGCCTGGTCACCCCAAACTGCCCTCCCCTGCAGGCCTGGGACCCCCCCCCCACACACACACACAACTGCCCTCCTCTGCTGGCCCAGTCACCCCTGTCCTCCCTTGCAAGCCATCTGGTGTTCACATGGGGGCAGCCATCTTGTGTGTTGGAGTGATGGTCCATTTGCATATTATTCTTTTATTAGATAGGATTCCCTATGGTGTACTTTATATCCCTGTGACTATTTTGTGATTACCAATTTGTACTTCTTAATCCCTTCACCTTTTTCACCCAGCCCCCCAACCACCTTCCCATCTGGCAATCCTGTTTGTTCTCAGTATCTATGAGTCTGTTTCTGTTTGTTCATTTATTTTGTTCTTTAGGTTCCATATATGTGAAATCAAATGGAATTTTCTTTCTCTGACTTATTTCACTTAGCACAGCTGTACATTTACCCATGCTGTCACAAATGCTAAGATTTCATTCTTATGGCCAAGTAATATTCCATTGTATTTATGCACCACCATTTTTATCCTTTCATCTATTGATAAGTTACTTGGGTTGCTTCCATATCTTGGCTATTAATGCGGCAATGAACATGGGGGAGCATATATTCTTTTGCATTAGTGTTTTGGGTTTCTTTGGATATATACTCAGAAATGGAATCCCTATTTCCTCAGGCAGTTCCATTTTTTATTTTGTGAGGAATCTCCCTACTGTTTTTTATAGTGGCTGCACCAATCCGCACTCGCACCCACAGTTCCCTTTTCTCCACATCCTCACCAACAATTGTTGATTTATTGGTGACAGCCATTCTGAAAGGTATAAGGTGATATCTCATTGTAGTTTTAATTTGCATTTTTCTGAGGATTAGTGATGTTGAACATCTTTTCATATGTTTATTGGCTGTCTGTGTGTCCTCTTTGGAGAAGTGTCTATTTAGGTCCTCTGCCCATTTTTTAATTGGATTATTTGGGTTTGGGTTTTGAGTTTTTTCTAAATTTTGAATATTAACCCCTTATAGAATGTATCATTGGCAAACTCCCTTGCTGTGAAAAAAGCTTTTTAGTTTGATGTAGTCCCATTCTTAAAATTTTTCTTTTGTTTCCCCTGCCTGTGGCCATATATCAAAAAAAAAAATACTAAGAGAAATGTCAGAGATTTTACTGCTTATGTTTTCTTCTAGGAGTTTTATGGTTTTGAGTCTTACATTTAAGTTTTTAATCCATTTTTCGTTTATTCTTGTATATCACGTGAGAAGGTTTAGTCTCATTTTTTTGGCATGTATTTGTCCATTTTCCCAACACCATTTATTGAATAGACTGTCTTTATCACATTGTATGCTCTTACCTCTTTTAAAATATATTAATAGACCATATAGGAATGGATTTGTTTACAGGCTATTTTGTTTTATGTATATATGTGTCTGTTTTTATGCTAGTATCATGCTGTTTTAATCACTATAGCCTTGTAATATAGTTTGATGTCATGTAGCATATACCTCCAACTCCAACTTTGTTTCCTTTCTCAAAATTATTGTGCCTTTGTTTGTCTTTGTAGCTGAGATGGGTCTCCTGAAGACAACATGTAGTTTTTAATCCATCCGGCTACTCTTCCTTTTGATTGGTAAGTTCTGTCTATTTACATTTAAGGTGATTATTGATATGAGAACCTAATATAGCCATTTTATCTTTAGTTTTCTGGTTGTCCTGTGTTTCTGGCTGTGTGTGTTTTTTGCCCTTGTGATTCATTAGGTTTATGTTAAAAAATTTTCACAGTCCTTTTTCTTCTGATTGCATCTTATCTTTACTTACCTGTGCAAGTTCAGTCCTTTTTCTCCTCCCCTTTTGTGTGCTATTGTCAAAATTATTCCTTTTTATGCTATAAATTAATCCCTCCCTAGAGGACTGTTAAAAGACACCATGTCACCGTAGGGCAACAGCAGCATGTGATGGCTACCAAAGAAAAATCCATCTTTAGAGAAAGTATGTAACTGGTAAGCAACCGGTTTCCCAGCTTCCTAAAGATGGACCGTTATGAAAACCACCATGATCAATAATTTTATAAAAGTATTAGCAGGCATTTTTCCTTGCTTGGCAAAAAATCCTAAAAAAATTATCCTATAATTTATATAAAACTAGAGGCCCGGTGCACAAAAATTTGTGCACTCGGGGGGGAGGGGGGTCCCTCAGCCCGGCCTGTGCCCTCTCGCAGTCTGGACCCCTCGGGAGATAACGACCTGCTGGCTTAGGCCTGCTCCTGGGTGGCAGAGGGCAGGCCCAATCCCTAGGTGCAGCCCCTGGTCGGGCTCAGAGCAGGGCCGATTGGGGAGTTGGGGCACCGCCCCCTGTCATGCACAGAGCAGGGCGGATCGGGAGGTTGCGATGCCACCCCCAGTCACGCTCAGGGTAGGGCCGATTGGGGGGTTGGGGCACC